TAACAAAACTGCTATTTTCAATGACTACTTATTTTTGTCCAGCTTTAACATCGGTATCGATATCGGTTATCGGCTACATGAGTTTTAAAGTATCGGATATCGGCCAAAATCCCAATATCGTGCATCCCTATTTGCAGGGTTTCTGCGGGGCATTAAAAATCATTGAATTATCTTTTTTTTATTTTTAATTTAGGGCCTTAATTGGCATTAAAATGAATTAAATGTGTTTATCATACACTTAGTGCTGCTTAATTATCAGCATAATGATAATCATGATTCTTTACATTAATATTAAGTTCTTGATTATTTATTATAAACTTTAACATGAAGTTACTAAACATTAAGAGCAGCTTTAAAACTATTGTATCTTTTGGATAACAGGTAGTTTAGAAAACTAATTTCTCTAGATTAACACACATGTCATCCATGTCTTATTTTATGCTGAACCTTATTTTTTCATTCTTGTATCTTATTTGTACGACTACAATCTTATTTTTCTCTCTCCTGTAAACAATTGCACTGCCAGAAAAAAAATGTCCCGCAAGGGATTAATAAAGTAATTGTGATTTTGATTCAGGAAGCCCCAAATGAGCTGATTAATCTAGATTAATTCCAAGATTACAGTTAGATTAATCTGGATAAAAAAAAAAAAAATTGGATAAAAAAAACATATCTATGCCCAAATCTATCTGTCTGTCTGTCTGTCTGTCTGTCTGCCTGTCTGTCTGTCTTTCTTTCTAGTTTTTTGGATCCATTAGTGTGGTATGTATATATATATATATATATATATATTTTTTTTTTTTTTCTCGTAAAAATCCCGATTTATACAATCAGACACGTATGTTGAACAGAAAATCTAATTAATTGGATGCAAATGTCTAATTATCGCAAATTATACTCCTAACTTATTCTGGTTTTTTTTTATTTGTCAAAATATTTAATTTGATTTCTCTGAGAATTATTTCATGGCTTTGGGTTTATAGGGTTAATGGATGGGAGGAGTGGATCAGCTGAATATTGACTGTTAGGTTTCCTCATTAAAAAGGACTTAATAATAATTGGTTTATAAAGAACATCCTAACGGTTTATTAGAAACCTAGTTTACACAAGCAGTGATCAGGCTTTATAATGGTGATGAATAAGACACGGTCCTGATGCTCTCTGTGCAGATGTTCCTGAGTGATGCTGACAGCCTGGCCTCGCCTCCCAGACTCCAGAAGATCTCTGCATCTGTGCATCTTGACCAGAAGACTAAGGAACCTCTGCAGGTACTCTGAAGACCAGCTTTAATTCTGAGTAGCCGGTTACCTGACCTCTGACCTCTGGAAATGTTGTCCAGAGTGTTGCAGGTGAAGCTGAGGGTCAGGTGAGGGGCTCCTCCTGTGGTTTTTCTTCTGAGAGCTCATTCCTGGAGAGACTGAATGCTGTGGAGGAGGAGCTAAACTCCAACTATAACCAGGTAACGTCTCAGCTGCCTGTCTGTCTCATAAAAGAGAAAGAGATGGTTGCCTTTCTAACTCTCACCCGTTTCTCTCTTTTAGCCCCTGGACAGAAAGCCAGCTGCTGCTGATGATGATAATGACGGCGATGAAGGATGTTTAGCGTTTCGAACACGGTCTAAACTTCCTCTAGTCAACGTTCCTATAGATCAGTTGGAGGCGGAGCTTCTGGCCCCTGACATCACGGCTGACATGTATGATCAGAGCTGTGCCCAGCTGGAGGAGGACCGTCATTGGACGAATTGGCTGCAGGGTCTCATGGCACCTGGTCCTGAAGGTCAGAGGTCATGTTTATTCTTTGAGAGTATCTGATTGCATCTGCTTTCAGCTGTTCTTATAGAAAAGCTTTTTATATCTATACTGATGCAGAGTTTTTAAACACTGCTTTGATTCCTTTCCAGCTATTGGAAGGCCAGATCGATGCCAGACTTTTGTTTCTAGACGCCTTTATTCGCCAACTGACTTTTCCTGTTGGGCAGAAACGATGTATTAGTTGATAACTAAAGCAGCGCTGGTATTGGCTGCCACAGGCCATCAATTATGTGTCCCTCTTTTAGTGGAATCAATATGAGTGTCATATGATTTCGACTTTGCAAATACCAGAATGAACGCTGTTAAACAAAAAATTTTCGTTTGTTGACGTTCCCACGTTTCACTGTGATCTGGTTGAATTGTCTCTGTAAAGCACTTTGAGATGACATGTATTGTGATTTGGCGCTATGTAAAAAAACTAATTAAATTATAATTGACATAATTGTAGAAACCTTTACCAGTGCAATGACCTATTCATTGTGTAGCACTGGCAACGGACAGTGTGGTGACCTAATCGTTCTGTAACTTTGACATCAAACGCATAACGCCTTTATCACTTTGACACTTTGACAACGGACAGTGTGGCGGCCTAATGCTGCGTAACTTTGACAATGGATGGTGGGGCAGGCTAATTATAACGGCCTAATCATGGCGTAACTTTTACAACGGACAGTGTGGTGATCAATCATTGTGTTACTTTGACAACTTTGCGTTGCGTAACTTACATCAGAAAGTGTAGGCCTAATCGCTACTTAACTTGGTGCTGCTGGCCCCTCGTTATGGTTCAGCTTAGGTTCCT